CATGGGGTGGGGGCGGCCCCGGGGGAAGGGCAGCTGTGGGGGTGCAGGCAGCCATGGGGTGCAGGCAGCCACGGGGTGAAGGCAGCCGTGGGGCAAGGGTGGCCCAGCTGTAGGGCAATGGGCACCCAAGCATGGGGTGTGCGTGGCCCAGCCATGGGGCAAGGGCAGGGTGGGATAACGGTGGTCCAGCTCGGGTTGATGGGTGCCCAACCACGAGGTGAGCGTGGCCCAGCCACTGGGGACCACCAGCCAGCGGTGGGGTGGGGCACAGCCTTTTGGTGTGGGGCACAGCCATGGGGTACAGCGTGTGTCCCACGGAGCTGAACCCCCAGTGCACACCAGCACCAGCCTGTCCCCAAGACCAAGCGGCTCCAGCCAACAAGCCAGCAAGGGCCAGGCGCAGGGAGCGATAGCAAGGGGCGGTGGGGAATTGCATCCAGCCTGCAGCCACGGGGTGGGGGAATAAAAATGCCATTTTGCATTTTATTTCCTGGTGGAGAAGAAAAAAGCAAGCCAGGCCAGGATCCCAGCCTGCCGGGAGCAGCGCTGGCACCGCCGACCCGAAAGGCGCTGGGTGCTCCCCGCGTCTGGCCGATCCCCCAGCCCCACTTTCCACCGCCGGGAAATTAAGCAGGATTGCCCCAAGTGCAAACGGGAGCCAGGGCCAGCCATCATGCGACCGTTTTTCTCTCCACCAAACCACCAGCTTTTCCCATTTTTCCAGGAATACCTCGGGTCACCTTTTATCACAGATGCACTCAAGAACCTCGGTGCTTGTAGGATCGGCGCGGAGGCACACCAGAAATATGTGACCTTTTCAATCAACAGGCGTTTACCTTCAACGTAATGTCAACATTGACATTTTTGAGAGCTTGGGAAAAAAGCTTGGGCACTAAAATGCTCTTTGCACAGACACTTGAAAAAGCTTGTGCAATGCACGTTGAGTGTTTAGGGACACGCAAGAGTCAGGATTAGATTTTTATTTCTTGACTGTTCCCTCCTGTGTGTGTTTACAAATAATGTAAATGTCTTAAAAACTAAATAAAACCAATCTCTTCATATGCTGTTTGCTCTTAGAATGAAGCTGTTAGGATTTAAAATGGCAGGTGTGCGTTTCTTTTACTGATTTCCTCCTATGTTCAATCCCTTTGGGTTGCAAGTCTCAGTTCTGAAGAGAGTTGGGGCATCATCCAGCCATGATATCATCCAGCCACGATCAAAGAGTTTTTTCTCAAAAGAAAAGTCTTTTTGGATTTAGGGCAAGCACGATCCATATGGCTGAAGTCACTAAAATTATTCCTCTCTTAAATTCAGCATATGCCTGATGTGCTACACCCAGTTCAGTCCAGGTTAGCTGTATGGGCAGAGCCTCAGAGGGTGGTTGGAGTTATTTTAACGAGCTTTCTCCTTTTTACCAGAGATTTTACATGCAGTCGGGGCCATAGGAACAGGTCTTTAAACCAGGTTTAAGGTCAGGCAGCTCTGACAACACCCTTGTGGAGCCTGGGCTATTGCCCTGCTAAAATACTGCAATTAAACCCAGCGGACCTGCTGGGCAGCATGGCTGAGGCTTGAGCTGTACCTAAAGCCCTAAAGGGGCTTCAGGAGGTGAAACTAATTCCCCAATTAGATATAAAAGGTCATGCCAGGCCTTTTCTGTAGGGGAGTATTCATGTTCAACAGTTCTTTTTGCTCTGTCCTCTACAGAGCCCAGCAATTTGCTAAACTTAGAAATAGTGATTTAAGTGCTTTGCAGGACTTGGGGGGGAAAAAAAAGTTATAGTGGGGAAAAAACCCAAACCAGGTTTGTTCTGCTAGTTGGGAGAGGGAAGAGCTGCCTTTGGCAGTGAGGGGGTTTCCATCTCCTTGGCGTTATGGTATAAAGGTGCTTTTGTTCCCATGGCAGAGCTCGATTATGCCAATCCTGCACCGCGTACCGGGGAGAGGAGTGAGAAGGGGTTACCCAAAAACGTAAGTACCAAGTGCTGGAGCTGCCGATCTGCCTGTCCTTCTCCCGGGAGCACCCGCCTGAAGGTGACCTGGGGGGTGTGTAGGGAAAAAAACATGAATCTTTTTCCCAACAACCTCCTTAGCTGCTTTGCAGCCACACAGGTGTGCTTGCCGCATTGCCCACGCTCGGGCTTTTGGTCAGGATTTTTCCCCAGGGAAAAAAACATGAATCTTTTTCCCAACAGCCTCCTTAGCTGCTTTGCAGCCACACAGGCGTGCTTGCCGCATTGCCCACGCTCAGGCTTTTGCTCAGGATTTTTCCCCGTGGGTATGTTCCCAAGCTGTCATGCGATGGCAGAGGTGGCATGTCCCCTTCCTCACCCTGCTGAGCGCTGGAGGGAGGCAGGAGGACCCCGCAAAAGCAGCCTGCCCCATGGGGTGGCTGCAGGAGAGCAGGCGGGAGGAGGTGGCTGTACCAGCGGGCCTTTCGTAAGGCTGAAAGCTTGAAATAAGAGGAGGAATAAAATAAAAGCGTGGCTGGAGTCAGCCTCGTGCAATACAGCGACAAGCACAAAGCTTTTGGCAACCGTGAGCTGTTAAGGCTTTGCTGGAGAGGTATCGGGTCGCTGGCTTGGTAGCCAGCCAATACCCAACAACTTCAGGTAATTAAATGAGCAGAGAAACAGTGACAGCCCAGTCGAACGAGCGGGCTGGGGCTGGATGGAGAGAAGGCAGCGTAACTGAGAGCCAGGCGTGAGCACCTACCAGCCCTTCTCCTCGCTTTCTTCCTCGCCTTAAAAAGACTGAGGGCGGTGCGTTGGAAATCAGTTTATTTTCTGCCGAAATCACGTGTTTATAGGGCAGATCGTGTTGCATAAGGAAACTTCAGGAAATTCCTTTTTCTAGCTTGAAGCTGCTTCGGGCCTTTCCCCGTCACCCTTAAATGCGTGTCTCCGAGCCGGGGCTTTGCCTTCCCGCGGTGCAGCTGGTTAAAGGTGGCCGCGGGAGCATGGGTGAGGGATGCAATTCATAAAACATATGGAGATTGACGGGGAGAGCAGCGTCGCTCCTGCCGGCGTGATCGGCAGTGGCAGGGGCTTCGGCAAAGCGCGAGTGAAGAGCCCGTGGGTTGAAACACAGCGG